GATTTTGGTATACCAACTGTTTGACTTGTCAGAAGTCACCCATGCTTCTACAATCCACATGCCAGTACCAGAAGAAAACATGACCTCAATGCTTAATCTTAAATTATCAGAAAATTATGTAATTCTGACATCACATATTCTCCATGTACAAGTCATTGAGTGCCTTTTAAGCATGACTTTATCCCTGACAAAGTGTATAAGGAGCCATCATGATGCTCTGACCATCAGGGTGGGAACATATTGTAGAGAGACAGAGTATAACATAAGGCTTTGCCAAATTTCCATGGTTTCAAGCGTGTCCCTTGAGTCAAGTGCATAGAAGCCCAAAAAGATCTTCCAGTTAGCTCTGGCTTCCTCTACCTGTCTAATATGCTGAATAAACTGCAGTACCTTGAAACTGGCAATTATTGACTTCCTTTAACAGATAGTATTTGTGCTACAAAAACATTGATGGTGCAAAGTCCAGTCTGTGTTCACAGCACGATTTTACTCATTTTTTTTATACTCTGTCATGGCCCCACTGTTTTTGCATTGTACCCTTTTGCAATTGTCTATCCTTAGTCCTCATCATTAGCACATATTTGTATCCACATCCAAAATAAATAAAATAATTTTATTTTTTTAAAGATTTATTATGTATAAGTGTTATACCTGCATGTATTCTTTTTTTTAAAGATTTATTTATTATGTATACAACTTTCTGCCTCCACACGCCAGAGGAAGGTGCCAGATCTCTTTACAGATGGTTTGGAGCCACCATGTGGTTGCTGGGAATTGAACTCAGGACCTCTGGAAGAGCAGACAGTGCTCTTAACCACTGAGCCATCTCTCCAGCCCCCAATAAAATAATTTTAAACAACTTTAAGTCAGATGTAAAACATCTCTCATATTTGTCCCCCATGAATTCTAGAAACTGTGTTTGCATCTCTCAATGTATAGCTGTTCTTTTAATATCATTAAAAGCATCAAATGTGGAAGTAGGTAGATTCCTGTAATGACGTTTAGTCTTGTTAAGTCTGGATAATAAAATAACAGAAATCAAATTCATATAAGGAAAGGTTTTTATGAGATTTCAAATTATCCAAAATGAATGGTGTATGCTGGAATTTCTTCATATTTGAACAAGATTTATTTTCAGTTCCTATACTACTAAAAATAAATCCAGATTTTTTTGCTTTAGTGTGAGATTTTTCATTTAAGTTGATTTATTATTAAAATATTCTTTGTTTTCAAATTTGTATTCTTCTAATTGTGTCCTTCTTTTGTGAGGGTGTGTGAACATGATTGCCGGTACTCAAGGAGGTCTAAGGCTTTGCCTCCCATTAGAGCCAGAATTATAAGTGGTGGTAGATATATGAGGTGAGAGATAAAAATCAAACCCTGGTGTTTTGGATTTCAAAATGTGTATAAACACTGATCCATCTCACCAGACATATAACTATTCTTTATTATAAACTATCCTTCAACATTTTGTTACAATATATGTTTAAATTACATATTAATGTAAGTACATAATTTCTTACAAACCCAACATTTACAAATATACCTTGCGCTTTTACAAATTTATAACTTTTATTACCTGATTTATATAAAGGGAAAACATATCTTTTATCATTTTAAGTTAAATGTGTTTTATTTCTATCTGTTTCATCAATAATGCTAGACCCTTACATGGAAATACAAATGATCCTAAGAGTTCAAGAATAGCATTTATTTAGGAGCATTATGCAGGGAAGGAATGATGAAGCAATCCCAGTGTGCAGTGGTACTAAACACTGGAAAGAAAAAAGTCACTGGTTTTGAGCACACAATATGGCAGACCCATGAGGAATAGAAGTCATAGATCATATTTGCCCTGCTACATAGGATAAAATAGTGGGACTCTGAGAATCATAAGAGAAAACATCAGTGTGCAG